AAGAGGAGTGAATCAAATCAAATCTCCAATAGCAAAGGAAAAAAAACTAATGACTACTTAGGGCAAATTATAATAAAATAGGTGATCTAAAATTACTTTTAGGAGGAAATTTTATTTTTTCTGCTCAATAACTTGTAAAATAATAAATCTATAAATTTATAATAGACGAACATAACATTTTCACTCTCAATTAAATGTATTGAATTTGAACTTATTTTTTTTAAAAAAAATCTTGTTGAAGAGTTTTTTTTTTAACTGGTTGACACAATTAATACAAATATTGAATATTAGTAAATACCCCACCTCTTGGAACTAAATTTACCATATATTCTCAACAAGAGGTATAAACCAAATTAAATTTCCCTTTGCTCTCAATCCCATAACAATGGAAGATTTGATCCCTTGCAAGCATAAAAAGAGAGATAATTAACGATCAAGAAATGTGATAAGATGAATATGATTTTTTGTTATTTTATTTAAAGACCTCGAATATAAGTCATGAAAAATTGAATATTTTACTAGGGACAAGCATTTTATCTTTACAAAAAAAACCCTATTTAACATAAATTTTTAAATTAATTAAATATATATATATTTTGAATATGAAATGATAAAATAAAAAAGATAGAAAAGACTACAAATAATGATTTCATGGCAGGGAAAATCTATTACTATTGTTTGGTGGAATTACTCATCATTACCATATAATCAAAACAAATGAATCCACACGCACAAATCTTCCAATCTTAGTACTTCCCTCCCCCAAAAAAATAAAAATAAAAAATAAAAAATCACTCATCATTTTATTTTTTCTCTTTATAAGATAAGATTCAAACCAAATGATTTACATTTGGAAAATCTGTCTCCACGAAGACCTATATCCATGCAATTTTTAGCATGCAAATATAATTCTACCACTTTTATTTATTATCACTATAATAAAGAAAACATCCTCCATTACTACTTGTTCTTAATTTTCATAAAGTTAAAAAATAAGTGCTCTTACACCCAACCACTTATATCTTTTTCTTTTTTTTTTAACTCATAATTACCCACGACTACTAAAAGTATATAATTTCTTCTAGTTTGATTACTACTTAATTATTACTATTTTCAAGTGATCGTGCATATAGCTTAACAACATACTTAGTAACTAAGCAAGTTTAATTTCTTGTTTATATGCTCCTTCGAATTCTTCTCGATAGACAGACTCATTTAACGTGAATTTTTCGCGTATTATCCCTTTTTTGAAATAATTGTTTAGTAGATTGTGTTTTTCGTAGAAAAGAAATTGTCTTGCTGTGTATGGATATTTTAGATGGCTGTTGAGTAAAATAATTTTTTTATATTAAAATATTAGATTATGGTCTAAAGTTTTGTAACTTGTTCCAGCATTAGATGATAGTCTGGTATAAATATTTGGGTAATTTTACTTCATTTGACATTTGTAGTACGCATCATTTATCAGATTATTTTTTTCACGAAATATATGATAGATGAGAAGAATCACTTAGTGTTTTTTTGTCTTTGATGAGTTTCAAATATGAGATCTTAAAATTCTCGACTACTTCATTAATCACTAGGTCACACCCTTGAGTATCGTACACGATAATTAAATTGGTTAATTATACTAAAACACTTGTGTCATGTAATTGTTTAACTTTGTAAAAAAAAATTATGTTAAAAGAGGATGAGAAATTAATAATGTAGTAGCTAGGGTATAATTAAGGTGATAACGTTATAAAACAATTAATTTCTTCTTTAATAATAATAGTTTTGTTTCTGTTGGAAAGAAGAGAGAAAAAAACAAAATTGTAAACTACTGCTATTAATTAGATCCCGTGAATAAAAATAAATGGAACAAAAGGACAGCACACAAACAATAAAGAATAATTAAAGATGTGTATTAATCTTAGCTTTTTTTTAAAGTGGAAAAAACATTCTGCAGTGATTTATATCCAAAAAGAAGACTTTCGTCTTTGATTAACATGTGGAACAACAGCAAATTTCTAATATAAATGACTTGATTAACCATAAATTAATAGATTGTGAATTTAATAAATAAATTATTAGAGAAAAAGCAATGAAATTAATTTCTTTTTGAGGGGCCTTTACTAATCATTCTTGGAATATTTCAAGAAAATTTAGACCCACTTCTACTTTATGTCTGGCAGCAGGTGTTGACTAAGCACTTATATATATATATTTTTTAAGAAAAAGCAACAATTATCAATCAAAGGCAAAAATAAAATATTTTTCTTGCAAAAAGAATGCCTTACATATGCTAGAGGAATACACAGAAAAAATTAGAAAGGAGAAGAAAAGACGGTATAAAAAGATTCTTATTATAAAAAACTTAATAATTTAGGAACTAAATATATCATATTTCAATTTAGGAAGTAACTGAGGTTATCTATCAATAATAATATTTGTGTCAAATAAATTGTACACAAATAAAGTTGTAATGTATCTTATAAAGGAAAAAAAAAAGAGTTTTATAATTAATTCAATTGGTAAGAATTTTTCTTAGAGATTATGTTATCTTTAGTTATTTTCTAAAAATTGGCTAATTAAGCTCTTTTTAAGTTCTAAGTATTGTTTGTCAATAAAATGGTTGATGCTAATGATAAAGTTTAATTTTGAGCATGCTTTTTTTTTTGGTTGTACTGATTATTGATACGTGTGAATAATGAGAATACAAAGGAAAAATAGAGCAGTGGAATACTTTAATTTTATGACAGTGGGGGGAAGAAAGAAAAATCCAATATTGTATTCCTGAATTATACCAGAATGTTTTTGGCATAAGGTTGTTATAACTCTTAAATGCTAGTAATATATATATATATATATATATATATATATATATATATATATA